CAACTTTTGGACGGAGGGCTAGAGGAACTCTCCGGGGTTTGAGCCTAATGGGGGCAACGTTGGGGTCTAAATTTAGCAAAATTGGGGAGCCCACATATTTACCCAGGGTATTGTTGAAATCATCTCCGAATTCACGGGTTAACACATCAAACTCGCTCTCTGACATTGTTGAATGAATACCTGAAATAGCAAGCCCAAGGGAACTAAACCAGTCTAACCCTAACAAACTGGAGAGAGAACCGTCTACCACAATTAAAGGGAGGCAGCCAGTAAAATTATCTTTTTCCACTAGGAAACGACCCTGCCCGATAATTGGAATCCTATTGCCCTGATAGTCTCAAAGTTTAACTGGGCAGGGGCGTATCTGGTTCTTCTGCAGACTAGGCAACATTTCTTTGAGGGTGGTCCAGGAAACAATAGATTTAGATGAGCTGGTGTTGACTTCCATGCGACACGGAACGCCTTAGATCTTCACAGTCAGGAACAACTTGCTCAATCGCGCAGCAGAGCCATGGTGGGTGGTCACTTCCGTGACCCGCCGGCCTCGGAAAATCGCAAAATAGTCTTCACTGCTGTTGACCGCCACACCCTTGGGTCGAAAAGTGGGTGGCCTCTGGTGTCCTGAGCGGCAAACCTTTGCAAGGTGGCCCAGTTTGCCACAACGTCGGCAGGTCACTGAATGGAAACGGCAAGTCGCTCTGGGGTGTTTCTCGCCACAACTTAAACAGGAGGACGGAGGGTTTTTATTCTCAGTTGGCCGCTTCCCCTTTCCAGCGAATGCCTTAAGGCGGCTGACCTCCGACTCTCCTGCCTCGTCCTCAGAAACCACCTCCTCAGAATGGACAGCCCCAGCTTGGCTAACAGGGGCTTGGAACTTCCGAATGTCCACAGCAGATTTGTCTGACATTTCTGCCACCTGAGCCACCTCGATGGCAGTTTGAAGATCTAAGGTTTTCTTCGCTAATAAACGCCTCTGCAACTCTATGTTATGCACCCCACAAACCAACTGCTCAACCAAGGCATCGTCTAGATCCCGAAATTCACAGTCCAGGGTGGCCATTTGCAATCGGGCAACGTACCGGTTAACAGGCTCACCTTCCTCCTGCAGGATTTGCCTCAAGTTAAACCTATGGGCTATTCGTAAAGGGGTCGGAGCATAGTGAGCCCTCAGTTTTCCCCTTAGAACGTCCCAGGGTGTAGTATGTACGGGCTGTGGAGCGACTAACGCTCTGGCGGTGGCAAACATCTCAGGGCCACAAGCATTCAAAAAATGAGCCCTTTTCTTACTGCTAGAGAGGTCGGTAAAATCGTTAGCCTCTAAAAAGCATTCAAACCGATCCTCATATGCATCCCAAGTTTCGGTGGCAGCATTGTATGGGGCGAAAGTTGGAGGAGCCATCCTTACTTCAGCGGCTTGTGTGTGTGGCTGACTGTTTATATACTCGATGGGCGCCTCAGAAAGATCCCACCCTCGTCGCCAGTGTTAGATCCGAACAAACTCAGCATGAGACGACTAGATGAATCAACGGAACTGTTTATTACTTCAGAATACACAACTGGGAAATGGATTGCCTCAGCCGGTGTTTGACAGCTCTTATATAGGGAGAGCCCGGCTGCCCTAACCAATCAGAGGTGAGGAATCTCCCACGCGTGTGATGTAACGCGGAAGAGGCAACAGTAACAATAACATCAACTCATTTAACCCTTGCCAGACAGAACACACATACTTTATATTCGGCTGTTTTTAGCCCAGTTGAAATGCACGACAAAGCGGATTGCCGCATCTCAGCTGTTCCTTAATACACTGCGTTTGTGCAAAGCACATGCATGAAGCAAACTGGTGGTAACACAGGTTGAAACCCACCACTGCTCTGAGTGCATAGTTACAACCATGCTATTTATTTTTAATCCTCCCTATGAGGTTCTTAAGATATTTTGCCTCCTTTAAACAAATGAAGATTTAAAATGATTACTGAATAAAAGTCAATGCAGTGAGTTGCTGCATTTCAGCTAATAATGGAAAATAAAGATGTATCAGTTAAAAAAAACCATCTCTACATTTTGAGGTCTTCAGATTAAAAATGTTTGCAAATATAGTTTTGGCCTGTTGAAGTGTCTGTGTCTCGGAATAAAGATTATTGTACAAGTTACTAGTATGATCTACAGGAATCAAAATTCTGGGACAAAGTAACAACTGATTTCACAGTCTGAAAAATATAAATGCTGATTGAAGTTCAATTCTATCTCCTGCCTTATGAGTGAAGTGTGGACCCTACACATAGGAAAATAAAAAGACCCTGCTGGATTAGGCCCAGTTAATCCAGTACTCTGTTTCACACAATGGTCAACTAGATTTGTTTGAGAATTTCCACTGCTCTTCTTAGCAGTCAGTATTTAAGGCAAACTGCCTATAGTTCTCAAGACAAGTAGTACTAAAGATCCATCAAAATTAGTAGCCACTGATAGCCTGATCTGGTTTAACAAAAAAGAGAAGTAATTAAAGTAATTAACAAATCATATTTTCAAAGCTCAATCTTTGAATCTCAATGCTTAATTTCAATACTCATGGCAAAAAGAAAAACAAGTGGCTAAGCTAAATTGAGGGTAATTGGGGCATCAAAATATGAAGTTGAGATTTTAGCCAATTTGACTCTTTCAATTTCTGTTATTCCACATGTAAGACATTAAAGTTATAGAACTGCTAGGCCATTTAAGTTACCAGATCCAGCTCTTACTCTTGAAGAGAAATTTATATTCTTCTTCTTATTGGCTGGTATTAAAATATTTTTATATGCTGCATTTCAGATTGTATATAATTTTTAGGAGTATCTCTTGATCCTTGATTAGCTCACCACTTCTGTACACTAGGTGGGTTCCTACATTAACCTCATAATCAAGTTATTTGTCTTTGCCTTAGTGTTGTGCAAACCTAACTGTTATGGTTTGTAGAGCTATGGTTTAAAGTTCAGTATTACTTGTAAATCCAGCAAATTCAGATTTCTTTTTACGAGATATGCTAAACCAACCACTGAAACAACCAACAACATCTGTCATTAAATATGTATGTAGTGGGGGGGGGAGAGAAGGGAATAAAAGGAGGATGTTTTGGCGGGAAGAGGAGGAGACAGAGGGAGTGCAAGAGAAGGAAGGAGGCATTTTTCTGAGGGGAAAGCTGGATGGTAAGGATAGGAAGGGATGCCTGGGGAAAAGGAGGCATGAGAGGATAGGAAAATAAGCTTAAGGGGGAAATGGAGAAAGAGGCCTGGGGAAAGTGAGAGGGAGTGAAGGCAATAGGGAGGATAGGAGAGGCTTCTGTGGGGCAAGTAGAGGAATCCCTGAAGGAGGAGAGGCGGTAGAAAGAGAGCCCAGCAGGCAATTCAATAGAGAGAGGGAGAGAGGGAAGGAGAGAGGGAAGAAGACGTGCCAACCAGCCATATAAATACCATCTCATCACATGACCCACCTGCTGGGAAAAGACTGACCATTACTCCTCCAGGTGACCTGCCTGCTGAGAGGAGACTGACCACCACGACACTATATGACCTAGGCCAGTAGAGGTGCCTGAGAAAGGGACCAGTGTGGACTGGCAGCCATACCAAGAGGGCCAGGAGAACTTGGACTCCAGTAGCCCTTTCGGGAGTAGTGCTACATGTACATTTAAATAAAGACTGGGAACCTGTGGCCTTTCAGATATTGCTGAACTATAATTCTAAATTCTATAATTTGCATTATAGCAGAAACTGGAGAGACAGACAGATTTAACTAAAGAAAAGTAGCAAATATGAAAACAGGATGCAAAATTCTTTGCTTGGATAATGTGTGTACATATTATTATATACAGAAATATTTTAACTGTAGCAAGATAGAATAAAATAATCACATCACACTTTCTAATGTGCTTTGTTTTTCAATAAGTCTGATTGAAATTTTTGTGCATTTTGCTTCTTCCCAGAATAAACTGTTTTGCTGTTTAGATCTTGAAGTATGAAATACAATCCTATATTCTTACTTAGGTTGGAGTGCTGTTGTCAGTAATTGTGACAAGAGGAAATACTTTTGCCAAAATAGCTATTTGGAAGTCTTTAAAATCACACCAATTAGTTCCATGCTTATGAATAACTTTATTAGGTACATGGACAAATTAGCATTTCATTTATTGATAATACAACAAAGAAATTATTTCAGAAATCATAAAGACAGAAATGATTAATGACAGAAATAAATATTAAATGATTGTAGATTTTGAGATTCATAATAAAAAGCATAATTTAAAATATATAATTGTTATGGATTCAAGAATGGTCAATGATCATCGGTCATGTATATAGGATCACTGAGGACTTTTAGAATTAAATCCTTTAAAAAATATTATAATGCTTTCAGGTTGACATGCCTATTAAAAAATCAGTAAATTGCACATCATGTCAGTGTTATATATTTGTGACTAATTATCAGATTTTGTTTTAAGCACTTTTAAGAAAAAAATTCTCATTTGGAAATAAATCTATTTCTTTCACTGAATTTTAATGGAATTTGGGGAGGGAAGTTCTATTTATTATCTTCTATTTATAACTATCCTATATTCATTCAGTGTTCCCATTTCTTATGTCATCATGCTTTCCCTAAACCCATTAAGATGAAAAGGCAGTTCATGCCTTTGGACAGTAGTACTTTTTCTCATTCAACATACATTTCAAATAATGTTGGCAGGTCAAGTTCTACATAACAGTATATTGATTTGTAAATCATTATAATATTGGAAAGATTAAAACACCATTACATTATCTTAAAAACACACATATTTACATAAAATAGAATGCACCTTTCATTTCTAATCTGAAAAAAGGCTGAATCAACAGAAAACTTCTGATCGTCTATTTTTTGCTAGAAAGGCAGAAAACTTCAGTGAAAGGAAGACTAGATGCACATTGCATATCTGAAGAGCTTGTCAGTTATTCTGGTTAGCTTCTCATATTGGTTGTCCTGCTTTGCATCTCATCCAGTCCAGGAATCTTTGCTTCAGTATATGGATGCATCATCATGTGGACCGAAATGAGATAAATGCATTCTTGGGCTGGAGGGAGAGATTCTGCCATGACAAGGGGACAATTGCTTGTACAGGAGTTTTAGGTGCCTTCTGAATTTCACTCCAACAAAGACGTACAGGATTGGGTTGATGCAGCAATGACAGTAGGCTATTTTGCGACTGATATCAAAAGCAAAAAAGATATGGTTGCGAGTTTGACATTCTGTCTTGATGACATGCTGAATAGACAAAACGTACACAAAGTTAAACACATTGTAAGGAGCCCAACTCAGGAAAAAGACCACCACAATAGCAAATATGAGTCTCACAGTTCTGTACTTCCTTTGAGACCGTGATCTAAGCAAAATTTTAAGCATCCCAATGTAACAAGCTATTATAACAAGAAAAGACAGGAGAAAAAATGTTACTTGCAGGCTCATCTCTATCATTTTCCAGATGAATCCCTCTTTGTACTCACAGTGTTGTTTGCCATGATTATCAATTATGACTTCAATAAAAATGATCTCAGGTACTGCAACCATTATGCTGCTACTCCAAATGGCCATGCTCACCAGAATACTACATTTTTTGTTCTGTGTTCTCATGGTTGATAAGGGATCAACCACAGCCAGGTACCGCAGAATAGTCATGATTGTGAGAAAGATGATACCACCATAGTAGCTGATAGAAAAGATAGCACTTACTGCCTTGCAGAGAAAATCACCAAAAATCCATCCATAATAATGATATACAATCCAGAAAGGCAGAGTGCATGAGAAGGTCAAGTCAGTGATGCAAAGGTTCAGGATGAAGAGGTTTGTTAAAGATTTGAGGTTTTCATATTTCATCACGATCCACAAGACAAGGCTATTTCCTAACAAGCTGAAGAAGAAGATCAGAAAATAAAGGATGCAAGTAAATATAGCACTGAATCTGGAGGTCTCATCCATATTACAATAATTTGTTTCTATTGGGATGTAATCGTAAAATGTTGAATTTGAGGTCCATTCATTATCATCTGTTAGGTTAGTCATTTGGATTTGTTGCAAGTTTTCTCACTTCTGCAACTGTGAGGAGTGTTTCTGAAACAAACAAAACTAAAAAGTATTGGTAATAGCAGAACAAAGAAAAGAAGAAGGAAATTATTCAATCATCTGCTATCCACTCATCTTTGAATTGCTAATACAGTGTTTCCCTGAAAATAAGACCTATCCCAAAAATAAACCCTGGGATGTTTTTTGCGTGAGTGCCTAATATAAGCCCTACTCCTAAAATGCGGGGCTCGTGAGGCACCTTTCCCCTCTTGCCTCATGGCTGTGGCACCGGTACATTACTCAGCTTGCTTCCTTGCGGCTATGAGCAAGCAGAAGAAGTGGGATCTTGCTGGATAGGGCTGCCAGAGCCACCAATGTGATGTGAGGCAGGTGTTGGGTGTGGATGGCCTGGCTGCAGAAGCCCTGAAGTAAGTTGATGTGGGGCACATGGGGTAGCTCCACCCCCAACTTCACCTCCTGGCCGCAGCACCAGAGCATCACTTGGCCTCCTGCTCTGTTGTGGCCATGAACAAACAGAAGTGGGCTAGCAGCTATGCGGGGTCCTGCTGGATGTTGCTGCTGGAGTGGGTCAATTTAATGTGGCCACTTGTTTTTGTTTTTGTTTTTTTTGCTTTAATTTATATGCCACCCTTCTCTGGAGACTCAGGGCGGCTTACAATGCGTTAAGCAATTGTGTTAGGTGGCCAAAGATGTCTGCTAGTCTGAGATTCAGCTAACACTCACCACACTAAAGACATGAAGTTCCTTGCAGGGAGAAGAATAGATCAAATAATGATTCCTGCAGGAATGACTGCCCATCTCCAGATTCTTGATATTGCAATAAAGAAGCTATTTAAGGACCGTTTGCACTGTTCCTCTTGGTCTTCCGAGGTGCCTCTCTTTCTTCTCTGTCCCTACAGGACAGATCTGGTTCCTCGGAGGTCAGAGGAAATTCTCTCTGATTCTGCAGTGGGAGGTGGCAGCCATTATGACCGCCAGTAACTAGGGCAACCAGATTAAGTGATGTGCAGGAGCGGAGAATTGAACGGAATATTGCTGCCTGGTGAGTGATATCTAACTCATAGGCAGAAAAGAAAAAAAAAAGGAAGGATTTTTAAAACAATTGCAAATGTCCTGGCATCATAATAACGGCTAATAGGCGTGGGAAGGGACAGAAGAAGAAAAGTAAGGCGGAAGTTACAAAGTAACAGAACTCGACTAGAAATTTGTTTGTTTTGGATTTAAAATACTTGGAGAACTTTGGAAAAAAAATTAGAAAAACCAAGAACCCGAAAAGATTTTTTTTCAATTTGGAAACTTTAAAGGGAGAAGAAGAAGAAGAAGAAGAAAAAGAGGAAGAGAAGAAGAAGAAGAAGAAGAAGAAGAAGAAGAAGAAGAAGAAGAAGAAGAAGAAGAAGAAGAAGAAGAAGAAGAAGAAGAAGAAGAAGAAGAAGAAGAAGAAGAAGAAGAAGAAGAAAGAAAGAAAGAAAGAAAGAAAGAAAGAAAGAAAGAAAGAAAGAAAGAAAGAAAGAAGAAAGAACTGGTTAATGTCTCTAAATTGGAACCTAATTGGAATGTAATGTGGAATTTGGACTATATAAATCTGGACTGAATTTTAAATTGAGTTGGTGTAAGTAAAAACTGTTAAAACGGACTGCATCCAAAATGGATGCCTTTTAAGCTCGCCAATTGTAAACGTGGATTGTAGAGAGCCATCTTCAGGAAGGAAAAAAAATCATTATAGCACTGAACTTTTTAGAAAGAACAAAATGGCGCAGGAACTGAAGGAAATGATGATAACGATGTACCTATCATTGAAAATGGAAATAAAGGAAATGACTACAATGTTGCATGGAAAATTGAAACTTGATGACCAAAAAATTGATTTAGGATACATTCAATCTGACAAAGAAACAATTAACGAGAAGCAAGGAAAAGAGACTGAAAATAAAGACAAAGACAAGGAGATTGATTATGGAAAATTAAATGATTATTACATTGGGTTTAACAATAGAAAAAGAGGAAAGGAAAAAAGAAAAGAAAAGAGGACGGAATAGAAAGAATATAAAAAACTTAAATGATTACACTGGGTTATCAATGAGAAAATAAGAAAAAGGGAAAGGGGATAGAAAATAATGGGAAAGACAGCAAAATAGAAGAGTTTATGATCTTAAAAAACAAAATGATTATATTGGGATTAGAGAAAAGAGAGATCAGGATTTTAAAATACAAAAAAGAAGAAGGAGTAAGAAAAAGAAAAAGAAAGTAAAATATAAAGATAGAAAAGGAGAAAGAAATGGAAGGAGAATATGGGGTAAAGAAAATGAATACTAGGGAAAAGATGAAATTGTATTTTTAATGAAGTGATTTTAAAACTATAAATAATTGGAATATTTTTAATTAATGAAGGGGACTGTAATAAATGAAATATCCTTAATTATATAGGTGATATTTAACTAAATAAGAACAGAAAGCTGAAATAATATTGGATTATGAATTAATTAGATATATTTAACTGGTCTTTATAAAAATTATATAAAAATGTTACAAAAATGTTAAAGCCTATTAGTTGGAACAGTTGACAAAGAAAAAACTATTTGAGATTGGAACTAAAGAATTTAAGAAAATAATTGGGAATGGTATTATGTTATAAATTTAAGAATAATTGGGAATTGTATTATGCTATATGAATGTAAATGTAGAAGTATTGGAGTAAGATTGATACTTAATTGGTTTTTTATTGAATATGTTTATTGTTGAAATCTATTATTTGGAATAATTGATAAAAGTATCATTGGTGATTGGAATAAGAGAATTTAAGGTAATAATTGGGGATGGTATTATGTTATATGAATTTAAATTTAGGGGTTCAAATTTTAAAGAGGGAGAAGAAAAAATGAACTATATTAGGATGAAGGGTAATATTGGTTTCTTAGAATCAGAGAGAATAAATGATATGAAAAAATTTATATATAAAATTGTGTTAAAATTGTGTTAAAGATGAACAAAAATCTGTATAAATCTAAAAGCGGGCCAATATTCTGTTCAGAAAAGATGCATTTTATGTTTGTTTGTGTGTTTAAAAAATAAAAAAAAACTTTATTTTTTAAAAAAAGACCATTTGCACATGGAAATCAATGACTACATTGAAAATAGAATGGAGATCCCAAAAGTGCTGGGAGCTCTCCTGCCCCATCATCTAAATAAGTCTGAGTCCTAAGGAGGTCACTGTCCCTCAGATAGGCGGGTGTGAGTCTCTTCTATTGAAGTGGGACCCTGGAGTTCAGTCGGGCTTGTTGGTCACATACCTATCTCCCAGCTATGTTGCCACAGCCCTGCCCGCACTGCTTGATGTCTTGACTGAAGTGGCACTCGAACTTCCCAGCCTTTTGGTTGTGGGAGATTTTAATCTGTCTTCGATCGGTGAGTCATCTGAGACAGTCCGGGAGTTCATGGCCTCCATGGCAGCCATGGACCTGACTCAGGTTATTCAGGGCCCAACTCATAGGGGAGGATACACACTCGACCTGGTTTTTCTCTCTGGGCAGTGGATAAATGGTCATGGTAAGGGGGAACTTTCCATCACTCCCCTGTCATGGACTGACTATTCCCTCCTTAGAGTGGACTTTCAATCTGCCAACCCTTGCCGCTGGGAGATGGGACCCATAAAATGGTTCCGCCCCAGATGCCTGATGGACCCAGAAAGGTTCCTCTCAATCCTGCGATTCAGCTGAGGCTCTGGTTGCATCCTGGGAATGGGTGGCTACCGACGCCTTGGACAGAATTGCACCTTTGCAGCCTCTAACCCGACGCAGATCCTGGATTGCTCCTTGGTTTTCTATGGAGCTCCAGGAAATGAAACGTCAGAAAAGACGCCTAGAGAGAGTTGGAGGTCCTCCCGATCTGAATCTGACCGAACACAGTTAAGAACCCATATTAGTTCTTATCTAGTGGCGATGAAAGTGGCAAACGAGATTACTTTGCTGCCCTCATTGCATCTGCAGAAAACTGCCCAGCGGCCCTGTTTCATGTGACCCGCTCCCTCCTCAATCTGGGAGTGAGGGAAGACTCTTTACAGGGCAGAGCTGAGGATTTTGTACAGTTTCTGCATGATAAAATCGCTCAGATCCGGATCGGATTGGACTCTGACTGGGCAGAATCCAATCGGGAGACTAGGGTGGGTCTTGAGAATAATATCTGGATTGAGTTTGACCCTGTTTCTGTCAAGGAAGTGGACAGGATTATGGGCAAACTTAGTTCCTCCACTTGCTTATTGGACCCTTGTCCCTCCTGGTTGGTTTCGGCTACTAGGGAGGTGACTAGAGACTGGATCCAGGCAATTGTCAATGCTTCGTTGAGAGAAGGGAACTTCCCCGCCTCTCTTAAGGAGGCGGTGGTTCGACCTCTCCTCAAGAAGCCTTCCCTGGATCCAGACTCACTTAATAACTATTGTCCCGTCTCCAACCTTCACTTCATCGCGAAGGTTGTTGAGATTGTAGTGGCGCAACAGCTCCCACAATTCCTGGAGGAAACGAAATACTTTGACCCGTACCAATCGGGCTTCCGATACGGACACAGCACGGAAACGGCATTGGTCGCTCTGGTGAATGATCTCTGGCAGGCTCAGGATGGTGGTTGTTCCTCCATCCTGGTCCTACTTGACCTCTCAGCAGCTTTTGATACCATCGACCATGGTATTCTACTGCAGCGACTTGTGGGGTTGGGGGTGGGAGGCACTGTCTTACAATGGTTCTCCTCCTATCTCTCGAGTCACTTTCAGTTTGTATGGGCGGGAGGGCAGAGATCCACCCCGAGGCCCCTAAATTATGGGGTGCCTCAGGGGTCGGTTCTCTCCCCCCTACTCTTTAACATCTATATGAAGCCACTGGGTGAGATCATTCGTGGCTTTGGGGTGAGATATCATCAATATGCTGATGATACCCAATTATACATCTCCATCCCAGACCACCCCAGAGATGCCCTTTCCGTGATGTCCCGTT